GTCCTTCTCTGTCTTTTCTCTTTTTATCACACACACACACACAAACTTACACACGTGCAGCTCCAGACAGTTCAGATGAGACTAGTCACGTCCGTTGACATAGGGCCCAATTAAAGGGGAGGATTAAGCCAGGGCTTGGTGACCTCTTCAGGAATCTCCCTGAGACGCTGTGTGTACACTGTCAAACCCTCTGACAGACCTTCCCTTTAAGCACTTTCACCTGCTAATTAAGACACAGGACTGTTGCGTGTGTGCGTGCGTGTGCATCTGTGTAATTGTGTGTGTGTGTGTGTGTGTGTGTTCATTCACTACACATACAGGACAAATGTACCCGTGAATGTCAGCGATAGATTTGCAGCCAGAGAAGCTTCTATGTAAATATTTGACTTGAGCATTGTATGGGTTTTTGGAGTTCACTCCAGCAAACGTCACACGGGCTGCAGCAGAGAGACGGGCCGTGTCATTTATTACATTAAATTATTATATGTTTTGGTGTGTGCATCTCGCTGCTGTGTGTGGAGGCTCCTCAGCAACAAAAGGCAAGCAGTGTTTATGGTGTGAAGAGATTAAAATGGATAGCGGCGAGGCAGAAGCAGTGAGCTGTTGCTGGACAAAGCTCTCTATGACTGATTAGTGCTGTGTCGCTGCAGTTTTTAGACAATGTGGAGAAAAGGCCTGTAGTGATCACACACTTCTTTTTGGTATTCTTTTAATTTAGGTAGCTAAGTGTGAAGTGGAAGGGTAGGAAATTGGTGGATATTTTAAGGATAATAATAACTTTGGGACAAAGTAAAGCCGGAGATTGGGCTCAAGGGGATAAAAAAAGGTAGATATAAAAAGTTTTAATAAAGGAAATAGGAAGCGTTGAGATCAAATGAAGGGAAGAATGGCATCAGGACAGAAAGGGAGGGCTGCAAAATATCTTATGTAATCTAGAGAAATGCCAGAATTAAACAAAACTATGTGCCAGTGGGGAAAACAAAAATGGCTTTATAAAATTTGTTGAAACTAGCATGGAAATCAACACTATCTGACATCAAAACCAATATAAAAGATTTGATATAAGCCAGAAAACCTTAGAAACTGGTGGGAGAGATTCTTGAAATTACAGATGAAATTGGATTAATTCTTTAAAAGGACATTCTTCTGCTTCTTCGTATCTGATAATGAGGATATAAGACACACAGATTCACACTCCCTAATCTCCCGCCCACTCACAACGTGCCAGAGCCGTTGAAAAAGAAGACATTTTTTAGAAAGATTTTCTAGAAAAGGATCCATTTTTCTTAACACCAGTCCAGATCTATCTTTAAGGACCAGTTCGTAGTTCAGTGGCACCTTGGGGTGTTGTGTGCAGATTACGACCCCCTTGCCTCACCCTCCAGTACTATGTACATAGGAGAAACTACAGTGGCCGAGAAAAAACATAGTAAGCCCCATCTAGAGCCAGTGTTTGGTTTGTCCGTTCTGGGCTACTGTAAAAACATGCAGGTCAACATGGTGGACTCCATGGAAAAAGACCCGCTCCCTCTGTAGATACAAAACGCTCAATATTTAATTTAGTAAAAGAAAAAAGAATAACAATTGTGTTATTCTAGTCTAGTTTTAAGATTGATCTTATTCTCAAAATTAAGCATGTTGGTAAAATGCTAATTGGATTTCTAGCTCACGGTTAGATTGACACCACTCTCATGACATTAGCTTAACCTAGCATAAACAATGTCCGAAACTAGCTAGCCTAGTTAAAAAATATGCCGACTGTATCTTCTCTTTCTAATCTAATACAATAACAGAAATGGGAAAATAATTAAATGAATGAAAAGCTGTGTTTTTACAGGGAGTTATGTGCTGTAAACAAATGTTAGTTAGCAAGCATTACAGGTCTTGGTAGATGTGTAGATTAGTCTTTATGCTAAGCTAATTGTATCATGGCTCTAGCTCTATACTTAGCATACAGACATGACAGTGATGTCAATCTAGTCATATAACTCTAGGATAATCTCAGTTAATAATCCCTAAAATATCATCAAACGGAGTTAGTTAACTCTGGTGCAAGTACTTTTAATTGTGCGCTGTCCCTGCAAGAATAAACTATACAAAAATAAATGAACACATTTTGAACCATTCCTTTAACAGGTATTTGGGAAATTAGCATGACAACAATGCAATCCCCTTTTCAGTCTTGTTCCTAATCTGATGAATATATCAAATATCTTACTTAGAAATAATCAAGACCAGTTACCTTGAAAGAAGTAAGTAAGTGAAATAATGTAATAAAAAAGGTTCAAATTAGTTTTCTTATGACTTCTTAGTCTTGTGACTTTTTTGAATTGCCCTTTGCACAGAGTATGTAGGGACAGGAAGCCAGACTGGTCCAGGGACACGTACTGTATTTCACCATTTAGCCTCCCCACATTCTCAGCTGTAACCACTGAACCCTTTAATCAGGGTTTAGTGAGACAGTAGCCTTCTGGAACAACAGCCATCACGGACTTTGACACCTGCTGTGTAACACAAACAAGGACACGTAAATGACATCCAACAACATAATTTTTCAGTGTTTCTACTGTGCCTACTTTCAAGAATTACGTTGCATATTATGTTCGAATCAAGCGTGGGAATAAACTGGAGAGAAACCTTGACGTTTCCAGCTGACGTCTCATGTTGACAGACATTTAAGAGGCACTGCGACGTATAGGAGCTGCAGTTGGCTCATGCCGCCCTCCAAGGAGAGCGGGCACAGAGATTAGTTCAACTCTGACAAATGTCTGTGTGGTATGTGGGAGCTGGAGGAAGGGATGCTTTGTTGAATACAGGCGGGAGAATCTGCTATCACACTACTGATATGATAAACCCCCTGCTTCTCAGCTGCTGGGTGACTGACCGCACTGATTACTTATTGTAGTCTATGTCCATAAGTGAAAGTGTAAAAAGACCCCATCCAGCTTACAATAAGCTAGATAGGGTCTGGTATTCACCAGAGAGATTTACACAGATGTTTTTATAGGCAGGACAGCTTTTACCAGTGATGTAGTCATTATCATAAAACAACATCTATCAAAATAAGCAAAAATCAGAGCATTCATTTGAGATTGTTCTCCCATAAAAAGCCCTCCATATACTATCAACTGACACAACATTTATCCTTAGTCAATTGGGTCTCACTTTAAAAGACATGTTGCCTTTGATGATATCTCAGACTTCAAATCCGAGATTGACGAATTCTTACTTTCATGGTGACCAATAATTCCCCTGAGCATGTCACTCATATTGTTTTTTTCCAATTCCAATTTATTTTCTTGGCATGACATGTACTGTAAATACATTTGTATTGCCAAATCATACAGAGAAGGAAAACAGTAGATTAAGGAGAAAAAGGCAATGTTTATTATATTACAAACTGTGAGGAACATTAAAGAAAATCATAACATATCTTATAGCCTATCTCGTAGAGCTGGACATTGTTGGAAAGTCCTAGCTACTGACACAATGCATCTGTGGCATGAGGTGATTTTTTTTAACAAATAAAGTTGATATAAACAGTATGTTAGCAAACAGTTGCATATTTACACATCAGAGGACACAGAGCAACATTTGCATCCATTACTAGCAGTGACCACCTGATGGCTGTAAATCCAGTATTTATTCTCTGTTTTGGTCTCCACCAACAAGGGAAATATCTGCCAAAATCTTCACCAGCTACTTGCTAACTTTGTCTACCTGTTGTTTGGTGTTGAGCAGGTAGTGTACAGTGGTTTCCATTCAAAACAACTGCCGTCTGCTGCAGGAAACAAGGGAGATTGAACCAAAACATTAAAGTTACTAAAGCTAAAACCAAAACAATGAGCTGGAAGATGCTAAAATGCTCTATAGAGCTGAGGGAAACTGCAGTCTTTGCGATACGAACTTTCACAATACATGTAGTGATTTAATTTATTGTTTATAGAAAGATATTGATTTGAATTCAAGCCCCCAGGAAGAGCGCTGGGCTTGGAAGCCAATTTGACATATGGTGGATACATTTTTTGGAGTGTCACAATCCCAGAGAACTGATCTTTGATCCATTCAGTCCAAAAACATTCGGAAAGTCTAGAAGAGCCGTACGATTAAATCATTTTATTCCCATTGAATTTAGTGGAGGGCTAAACTGGAAGTTAGTGACCTAGCGAACATAAGTCTCTAGTGTGCTTACTCTATAGGCCCCACAATGCAGAAGCATATGTGGAAGATCAGAGTTATTTTACACCAGGAAATCAAAGCGTTTTGGCTTCCTATGCCACTGAGTAGCTTCCGTAAGAATAAACAATGCCCCACCAGCAATGCTGTATCCAGTTCCCCCTTAATAAAGCCATGCTTTAAATTAAAAGTTATTTTCTTAGAACGTTTTCCTGATTTAGATCATTTAAAGTAAACAAGTAGAGAAGTACTGAATGGCAACTTTTGAAACTTTACAGTTACCGTGCTACAGAAAAAAAAGTTTGATGTCTGATAGCCAGCATATCTTCTAGTGTTATGTGTTTCCAGTCTGATTGTACAAATACATTTATGTCAGAAGCTCAGTTTCACTTCACTTTAATGGCCACATGACCAGAGTCAGTGGAATTTGTTTTCAAGTACAGTGTTGGAAAAAAACGTTCAGTACACAGTGTCAGCAGCATATATTATTGGAAATTGAAAAGCATTTTCGTCTGCTGCCACAAGACAAGAAGTAAAACTTGTTGCCATTCCTGTTTTTCCCACTTTCCCCCTCCTGGCTGTACTGCTGCTCCACTATCTGTGTCTCTATCTTGATCTTTCTCTCTCTATCTAGCTCTCCCTCCCTCCTCTCTAATGACAGTCAGCAGGGCTGATAGGCAGATATATTTACACTGGTGGCAAGGGAGGAAGAAGTCATCAGCCAAGCCCTGTCCAGCCTCCAGGGCTCCGGCGGGCGGGGCTTAAAGGAAACCCTGGCCTGTTAGCCCCTCCCCAAGCAGGGCATATCTCTGTGCTGTCCCTGGCCCTGCTCATAGTTCTCAGCTAGATGGGACCAAAGCTTCGCTGGCCCCAGACTCACACACACACACAGCCTCTGGGGGAGAGAGAGCAGGGAAGAGGAGGCAGGAAGAGAAAGCAGCACACAGAGCAGAGGGCTGCTGCTAGTGCACACACTGGCTTAGAGACATACAAGAAAGCCAGAGTGTGTGTCTTATTTTTTTCTTACTAGTTTTCTTCCAGAGCTGTTGATGAGGCAGGTTGGGTCAGCTTCATCTCATCTCAGTCTGGCGTGCAGAGGTGGCCAGGGGGGTCGAAGTGTGTACCGCTTCTCGAGTGTGTGTGACTTTATTTTGCAACTCTTGAACACTGGAACTGTACTGTAAGCATTATGACTCTTCTGGGCTCTGAACACTCCATACTGATACGAAGCAAGTTTAGATCAGGTAAGCCAAGTCTTGAATGACATGTGACTTATTTTCACTTCTGTGTATCTGTGCATGCACTGACATCTTGATTAGTGATCAGTTTCTGTGTACAGCTGTGTTTATTCTCAAGAGCCTTGCAAACAGTTTGTCCGTCAACACTGTGGCATCCTGTGTACATTATGTCATTCATCCCTCTTCACGGATGAGTTGTGTTGACACCAGCAAAGTGACAGGTGCGTGTAATATACTGCGGGCACGTGACAGGCCGAGAAATACCAGAGGGAGGCCAGCATAAGTCAGAAATCCTCCCGAGTACGATGCGCCCAGTCATCACAGTGTGATGGATTTACAGCTGGGCGTGTTCTTTGATGTTCATCCTCCTCCTCATAAAAGCACGACATGTGAGGGTGATGTCTCGGGCAGGTCAGTGCACTTGTTTCGTGCCAGCCGCCAACCTGCTGCTGCTGAGGCAAGCCAGTGAGACGTTCTCACTCTGTGGCTCTGTGAACGCTGATAAAGGGAGATTAGGCGCTGGAGAGGAGTCAGAGGTTATCTTAATAATGCTGAATTGGAAGCTGATGGTGCGTGCATATGTGTGTATGTACCTGGGCATATCAAAGAGGGAGGAAAGGTACGAACTACAGCGCTGATTTAAACTCCCCTTAATGCTGAGCAGCTGTTGGGGCTTTGAATTCATCTATCTCTCTCACATACACACACACT